TTCTTTTTTTAATCCACATTTCATCAATTACTTGATGACTCCAATGTGGAGTGGATGATAGTATTTCTCTAATTTCCCTTTAAAAAAGAAACCCTAACATCAGATGTTTACAAGTCTACATAACAAAGCATAACAAGTGAAATGCGGAAATTAGATTTTGAAATGTTGAACTTCATTGCTACCATGCTATTGAGAATCAAATGGGAATTCTTTTTTTCAGAGGAAAACAAACAATGGATTTTATTTTCTGAGATTTTTAGCATTGTTATTTTCCATTAGGTAGCATTAAAAATACAAAGAGTAGGGGTAATTCAGAGATGCTGTACTGGTTCAACAAAATTGGTTCAACACAAGTAGACAATTGAAGATTATTAGCAAAGTCCTCGTTTTCAAAAACTTTATTAATTTACAGAAAAAGCTTTACTTTTTTGAATATCCGGGGTAATCATCATGATTCTAAATTTGAAATGGAAGACTAGAACAAGATCACAATTATTCAGGGTTTCATTTTAACCATTGGTTTCCTGGAGTATGGATTAAATCCTTGATCACAAACAGAAAGGTTAAATTGAGAATTTGCTATATCAGAAAGAATTATATTAATATCTGTTGCAATTTCAGCATAAATGTTTACCAGGTGATGTTTTACTAAAAGCATTTTTCATGTGTGTATTGTGTTTCTGAAATATAGTCATGTGAAAAAGTAAGTACAAGTAAGTTTTCCTTTTTAACACAATGTGGACATGTCAATTATCTTATCTTCATTCAAGCATATAAAGATAAAGGGATGTAATTGAACAAAAACCTTATGAAAAATTGACTTTGCAATTATTTATTTTAAAAAATATATGACAGATATACCATTTTCTTCTGTGGAGCCATTTTAAATTATCCCACGGCATCTCAATAGGATTAAGATCTGGGTTTTGAATTGGCCATTCTAGGGCCTTTCATTCCCCCCCTCCCCCCCGTCATTCCGTAATGAATTTACTGGAATGTTTAAGGTCATTGGCATATTGCAAGGTCCACTTTTGATTGAGCTTCTGTCTTCTGACAGATGGTCTCATGTTATCTTCAAGCACTCTCTGATACAATGAGGAATTTGGATTCTATGATGGTGAGCTGCCCAGGCCTGAGACAGCAAAATAGCCCAAACCACAACATGTCCTCCACTCTGCTTTACAATTGGTATTAGTCTGGTGAAATATTGTCTTTAGTTTTTGCCAAACTGGTCTTTTGGTACAGTGCCAAATAACTGCCTCATCTGTGCAGCACATATTGTTCCAGAAATCCTGGTCTTTGTCTAGGTGTCCATGAACAAAATTTCAGCACTGATGATATTACCTAGTTTGGGTAATGAAACATCTGCCAGAAAACAAGCAAGCTCAGAGAGCTTGACGAACCCTCATTTCAACCCTGAGCTACAAATATTCTTCTTTACTGAAACTTCATTTTTGTCCTAATGTGCTTTCTGGCACACCCCTCCTGTGTAAAACTAATTTGTACAGTTTCGTCCTAATTGTAGATTCATGCACTTTCACATCAATAATGATGAGAGGCTACCATATAGTCACTTGATGAAATTGTGGGATCCATAGAGACTTCTTTCAGCAACTTATGTTCTGCTCTCAGGTTGAACTTGCTGGGATGGCATGGCTTAGGCAAGTTGACAGTTGTTTAAAAATCTTCTTTTGGATTTTTGGGATAGTGGGATTAATTATGTCCATTTGGGTGGCAATCTTTTTAAAATCTCTTCCCAGTGCCTATAACCTTCTTTCTGAAGGCCTCAAAGAGCTCTTTTAATCTAGGCCTGTGATGTCGAACCTATGGCACATGTGCCACAGGTGGCACACGGAGCCATATCTGTGGGCACGTGAGCATTGCCCGAGCTCAGCTGCATATGCGTACGCTGGCCAGTTGATTTTCGGGCCTTCCAAAATTGGGAAATGGGCCATTTCCGGCCTCCCCGGGGTGGGTGGGGAAGGCCGTTTTTGCCCTCCGCAGGCTCCAAGAAAGCCTCTGAAGCCTGGGGAGGGCGAAAAATGGGCCTACCAGGCCCACCGGTAACCTTTTGCCATTGTGTGCCAAAAACGGTGGGAGTGCGGGGCGCATGTGGGGAGGCATTGAATGATGGGTGTAGGCATGTGCGTGCGCAACCCCCCCCCCTCATTCCCTCTGCTTTTGGCACACAATGACAAAAAGATTAGCCATCACTGATCTAGGCTATGGTGATACCACACAATTCAACAGGAAAGAGCAAATCTAATTAAACGTCTGAGGTTTAAATAAAACATGTTCCTCCCAGATTCTATCTAACAATATTCCAAACATTGGAACCTGATGAATGTAGGGGTGTTCTTACTTTTTCCATATACAATATTTGCATTTATATTTATTTAAATTACACAATGGACTAAAAATGTAAATGGTACATGATATTTTTTATATTATAAACCCTAAATCTATCAGTATTGTTGAAATAAAGAACAAATATCTATGTGTTGAAGTGTGTTGAAAAAGTAAAAAAATCAGTGAGGTGTACTTACTTTTTCATATAACTGCATAATATGCAACATATAATGGAATTAGTCTAACAGCTGTTTAGCTAAATGTCTATGGAGATTATCAGTCATCCAGGTCATGGTTGTCCCAAAGGTGCTTTTTCAAGAAGCAACTGGACTTTATTGCTTTTCTTTGAAGATGTTTTGCTTCTCATCCAAGAAGCATGGCTTGGCAGTGGATTTCTAACCACATAGGCAGCGGTCTCTATGACCTGATCCAACTGTAGATGCCAAGAATTGCATTCTGGATTTTAATGTGCAGTGCATATGCTCTACCATACAACTGCAGTCTCTTTCCGTCTTGAGTTCTTGCTTTCTGGTACTGAAAGTGAAGGAGCCAATCCACAGTCTCAACTGAGATGATGGAGAACAACTCTACTGTTGTTCTTAATTTATGTGGTCATTTTTTCATTTCTTTTTTTTTTAATTAAAAAGTTTTACAAGACAGAAAACATTTTTACACATTTTCCCCCTCCCCCTCTACCCCCTCCCCTCCCCCCCCTCCCCCCCAAACTTCCCAGAGCAAATACAGGGTATAGCATTTATCAATCATAAGCTAAACTAAACTAAACTAACCATCTATAAATTCCCGCACCCCCCCCCCCCAGAATCTTTACTCCCCTTTTACAATACAGATAAATTTCTAACATTCTAGTCAATCATAAGCTATTTGGTATTTCCTGGTCTGATATTTATTTTGAATGTAATCAATCCATCTCCTCCACTCCAGTATATATCTTTCTTGTGTATGATCCTTCAAGTACGCCGAAATTTTCGCCATCTCTGCAAAATTTGCCACTTTTAATGTCCATTCTTCAATAGTAGTTGTAAACATTTCTTCTTCCAATATTGTGCTACCAAAAGCCTAGCTGCTGTTATCAAGTTTAAAATCAATTTAGTCTCTATAGCTGTACACTCTGTAATTATACCCAGCAAAAACAATTGTGGAGTAAATTTAAACCCTTTTCTCCTAATATTTTGCATAATCCACCAAATTTTTATCCAAAATGCCTTAAGTTTTTTGCAAGTTCACCATATATGAAAATACGTTGCATCCTCCGACTTACATCTCCAAAATTGAGCTTGCATATCTGGGTACATACTCGCTAGTTTTTTTGGGTCTAAATGCCATCTATAAAACATTTTGTAAAAATTTTCTCTTAAATTTTGTGCTTCTGTAAATTTAACATTTCTAACCCATATTTTTTCCCAAGTTTCCAACATTATAGGTTCCTGAATATTCTGTGCCCATTTAATCATACAATTTTTAACCAATTCCGTTTCCGAATCTATTTCTATCAAAACGTTATATAACCTTTTAATATGCGAGTGCCCTTGGTCTCTGATTTGTTTTACCAAGTTTTCTTCATTTTGCATGATACCAAATTTCATTTTTTTTTTCATTTTTTTCATTTCTTACAAGAAATGATAATTTTGGGAGAAGAGAAGCCAAATATTTATTCATATTCTAAACCCATCCCCCTGACTCTATTTCTGTGTAGTGTCTAGATTTGGAAAAGGAAGTTCAGAACAAATGTTTTTCAAAGTTTAAGAGTATTAATTTCTTATTATTTTACTAGTGCTGTAAAATAAATGCTTAATCTAATCGTATTTTAGGTGTACTCTGATCTAAGTCCATTTCTTTTCATTCATTCATTCTTGAAGATTAACAGTAATAAGACCAGGATTCTTCCTTTGTAAGTGTGCCCGTGGTTAGAAATAAATCTTTGTTATGTCACTATTTGGGGAAGGGGGAGAGAGGAAGCCAAATGAAATGAGTACTTTATTTTGATTTCCTTTTTCTTGATGGGAATAGTAGAAAAAGGAAAATAATTTCAGTGGTAAACTGAAAAATCTTAGAAGATTTTTCAGGAGTGCTGTGATTTTGAAATTAGGTATATGTCCCACTTCTCTAGTGAGGAACTTGAACAAGAATACAATCACTTCAGTGGTGGGTTCCTCCCGGTTCAGCCCGGTTCGGCCGAGCCAGTAGCGGTGATGATATGACGTCACCGAACCGGTTCTGCCCCCACTCCTGCGTTATTCTAACCTTTTATTTGGCCCCATCTCCAATCTGTTGCTGCCTCCTGAGTCCCAGCTGATGGGCTATAAGGAAAAAAACTGTTTAAACTCTTGCCGCGGGGCTTCAAAGGGCCGCCCTACAGCTGATCAGTGGTAAAAGGCAGTTTGGTGGTAGACCGGTGCCTCCAAAAACAAATGAGTAGACCAGTGCCTGCAAAAATAAATGGGTAGACCAGTGCCTGCAAAAATACATGAGTAGACCAGTGCCTGCAAAAATAAATGGGTACACCTGTACAGCTCTGCAAGCAGTTAAAAGCCTGGTAGACCAGTACCTCTGTTAAATCCTAAAGAATTGTCACATGACCATCAAGCCACGCCCACAAAATAAGCCACGCCCACAGAACCGGTAGTAAAAAAATTTAGAACCCACCCCTGAATCACTTCCCTGTCTCAAAGAGGACCAGCTAGGACTATACAGGATTATATACTATGTCATTTCCCCATTCCTTTATCTATAGCTAAGACTTTGTGGGCTTGCTTGGATCACATAGTTCCAAATGCAGAATGTGATACCAACTGTACAAATCAGCTGAAATTGAGAAAAACTCGATTTTTTAAAAGGCTTCTGTATTTCTGGAAGTTGCAGGTTGAAAATGCAGGAAGAGAGAAGAAATTCCAAGAATCCCTGCTTAAAGTTGGCAAAATACGAAGGGGAATAGTGTAGATGAAGCCATTACTTGTCATCTGTCCACATAATCCAGGATTTTTCACATTACAGGTAGTCCCTGACTTACAACCATACTTGAGGCTAAATTTTCTGTTGCTAAGCAAGATTTGTTAAGTGATTTTTGTCCCATTTTATGATCTTCCTTGCCACAGTGAATCACAGCAATTGTTAAATGAGTAACACTAATTTATAAATTAAATCAAACTAATAATAATAATAAACACGAATGTTAAATGCATGTTGTTTCTTCATTGATTTTGCTGGTCAGAAAGTCCCTGGGACACTGCAACTGTCATATATACATGCCAGTTGTTAAGCGTCTGCATTTGGATCATGTGACCATGGGGATGCTGCAACAGTTGTAAGTGTGAAAAATGGTCATAAGTCACTTTTTTCAGTGCCAATATAACTTTGAATGGTCACTAAACAAATGGTTATAAGTCAAAGACTATCTACTTCACTAGTGTGAAAAAGATGCTTAGATATAAATACTGCAGTTCCTTCCAGTGATATGAGCTAACATGTGACCTTTTTAAAGCAATCCGGAATTGAATTTTGCAGTCTGTTTTGGCCTATTTATTTCTAACTTGCGAGTAGTTGGGTGGAGAGGCTTTTTTTTAATGTCAAACATACCCCCTGCTACATACACACTTTCCAATTTCCATTTTGCTAGCCACACTGGTAGGGCATATGGCAAGGCAACATCTCTTTTTCATTTCCTCCTTCCCCTTTGTCCTCTATCACCGCACTTTTCTGTCAATCCTTTTCTCCCTTAAATCAGATTAATGTTCTTTCTATCCATGCTTAGAATTATAACATAGCATCCTTTGTGAATATTTTAGGGGGAAAAAATCCACTTTCTGAAATTGATAATCATGAAGACACTCTGAAAAAATGGCTAAGAGACTGGTGTTCAGTGATAGGAGTTGAGGCATTAAAAAGTGGGTCATTCACTATTTATTTGCATAAACTTTTAATACATTGTTACCTAGAGTTTTTCCAAAAAGCCTAAGGCAGTAATCTAACTAGCGAATGGCAACTGCAGGAATATCTAATACTAATATAACCGTCACATTTTACTTTGTTATGTTCAAAGTGAAATTTGTAAATTAAAATAATTGTGGCTCTGCTGTTATTTATTAAAGCTTTAATTTTGGAAATTACAAAAATAGTGTATGCAACTAGAAAGAAACCTTGTGGCTATCTTGACACTGCTTAAATGTCAGGGATTCAGGTTTGATTGCATACGTGTAAGTTTGCAGCCATGAATTTGGATAATTCTTCAACAAATTTCAACTGTCTAACTTTGCTGAAAGCCTACCTATTCCTTCTGACATCATTTATAGGATTAGAATATGTGGATTTATGTAAGAATTTTTTAAAATAATATTTTTGATATATTGCTTTGTAATAAAATAATAAAATATAAATCACTAAGGCTACATATGATTATAAAATATAAAAAACACATCAGAAAGTGTAATATAAATTCATGTAACTTATTTCCTCAAATAATTTTGATTATGGTAGTAAAGTTTAATAGAAGCTATACTTAAAGAAAATAAAAATGAGTAGAAAAGTGCAGGAAGGAAGGAAGTAAAAATATGCTAAAGAAAGAGAAAATAAATATAAAGTTATTTCCATTTATCACAGCTATAAACAAAATTTACCCTCTAAAGTTGCAAACATTTATCTCTTAAACCCTTATCCTATCTGTTACTTATTAACAAATGCATAAAACACCATCTTTTCCGTCTTATGTCAGCAGAGTGCAGAAAGGGTACCCAAAAAAATCAATATATCTTGTTTTAACCTTGATCAAATAAACCAACTTTATATGACTACCTGTTAATAGCCTGAATTTTTAATTCTTTCAAATATTGTTGTAGGCTTTGATTTCTCTTAATTTCTTTTTGTTCCATCACACAGAGTTTTTAAAAATCCAATAGGAAAAAATTACCCAGGTCGCTCTCTTGGTTTGTCCTTTGTATTTCCTCTTTAAATTTTAAAACCTCAGCCAGTTTCTTTTGTAAATCCAGTGAAACATCCTTTTCTAAAGTATTCTCTTAGCCAGTCAATTTTAAATCCACTTTTGATACCATCTCTATCTTGTCAGGTAAAATTTGTTCTATAGCTGTCATTTCTTTAATAACATCTTTTGGACATAGTCTGTTCATAGAAGGAGATATCTTTACTGACATTGTTGATTTTGTGGCTACTATTTTCTGCTTCCATTTTTCTATAGTGTCTTTCAATATTTTCATTGTTATAACATTTTGCAATATTCTACAGACTTGTAAATCTTTCCTCTATCTAAAGATATCCGTTTCCTCTATTTTTTGAAATAATGTAATTGCTTATCTTTATTTTGTCTTGCAAAAAAGCCAAAGCAGAATCTATTTTCCACGAAAACTGTTATTTATAACTAGTGCCAAAATTTTATTGTACAAGTTACAATATTTCAATTTTTTTTCTGGAAGTAGTTAACCAGAAATTTCTGAAAGATGTTAGAAAGTGAGATTTGCAAACATAGTGTCATTTAAAAGTCTTCAAGATACAAATCCCGTCAACTCCGGGCACCCAACTTGCAGAAAACCACTGTTGTGTAGTCTCATAATGGGGAGCAGCTGTCCAGAACACATGTGGGTGATCTTTGTCCTCTCTTTATCAGGAGAAGTTCCAAGGAACCTCTCTATCATAGGTTTCTTGGTCCTTGTCATAGTTATTGGTTTTGCTTTAAAAAAAACTGTCTTCAATTTGCTGTACCTCTCCTGGTGGTTCACTTTCTCAGTGAACTTTGGAAACTAAATGCTCCCAACTTGCATAGCAAGAAATTTTATAGGTATAAAGTATATTGGTATAAATTGGAAAAGGATACTACCTGAAAACTATTGAAGGTGTCTGTGTATTTGATCAAATTGCATTCATGCTATAGTTTCACATAGCCCATTTAATTTACCATACTTTATTCAGCCTATTATACCCAACATTGCATTTTCATTCTTTATATTTTTAGTATGAGGCTGATGGACATACATAGTGTACACACTGTTTGAAGTTTTTAGGCAACAGGTCATATGCTTTATTTTGATCTTAGAAAAATACAGAAAGTAAGGAAATTTGCCCAGTCTACATGAAAGTATAATGGAAACCAAATCTGCACTGTATTATAGCAATTTCAGAATCTTACTGCCTTTTGGATACCTTATTAGACAACTGGAATACTATAAATAGGACTGCCACTGAAAGGGTCTAGCTGTGATTCAAAGAGCAGCTGATTTTTACCTTTGAAACCCTAAAATGTCAGGAGCCACGATAACAAATATTCTGCTCCATTATTACCCTGTAAATATGTTAGGATACTTATTGAATGCCCTACACTCCACTGCTAGAAAGAGAACGAATAGCTTCCATGCATGACCATATTTTCCCCATCCTCCCAACTGATTTTAAGAAATTATGTTTTGTGATTTTATCTTTTTTTCCCCCAGCTTCCATTTACTGTAAGGCCACCATATTTTGAGAAAACAGTTTTAAATGTTGGTAGAATTTTATATCCTTTTATATTATTAATTACTTTGGAAACACTAAATTTTAGAACTGATTACTACATCTTAAAATACATGGGGTTTCTTCAAGAATACATTATTAAAGTTTATCAATTCAATATATAAATCAGTAGTTCACTGGTAGAGCATATTTTCTCATGCATTAATATCCAAGCGTTAACCCTTGACATCTCCATTTTAAAAAATCTATTAAATTCAGAGTTTACTATCCAGAAAGCAATGGTCTGATACCCTAAGCAATCTCTGAAAACAACCATTCATTAAAAGATATTATTTTCTTTATTTTGTGGAATCCCATTCCCCAGTTATTAGTTAATTTCAGTACTGCTTTTTCTTTTACTCTGAATCAAGACACTAGCTTCTTCTTTAGACTTCTCTCTTAAAGACTTAAAAGAAAATGAGAATGTATTTTAATTTTAAATTTTACTTTATAATATGTTTGATATAACAGAACCTTTATATTATGCTATATAGAAACCTTTTTTATTAACTGGACTTTGGATAAAATCATTCTATGTAAAGACATCATTATAAGGCTAGGATCCACATGTCCTCTATACTTGTAGCCGATATTCATATGTTTTGTTAATATGCTGCTTAATATGCTGTATTTAAAAGCACAAAGTATGTTTTTTCCAACTGACCAGTGGGGATTGTTAATGGGAACTTTTGTAGCAAAATATTATAGGTTTAAGAGTTGAATTAATTTTTTCTGATAAACTGCATTCATTCTAAGAAGGCTGGAATATTTTTTTCCCCTCAATAGCTAACAATATAATGTTAATTAAAACTTGTTTACTGTTTTTAAAAATAATCACATGGCAAGAGGTGCAGAGTGCATATTATCTGTCCAACAAGTTGACTCTTATAGTTTATTCTTATGCATATTTAGTTAGCATGAGTCCTGCTGAGATCAAGTGTCATAGAGATGAATGTTTGTAAGACTGAAGTATTTCACATTCTCCGCATATCTATTTCTAGGATATTTATCTATTTATATGGGTTGCATACTATGCTCTCAATTCTCAGATGCTTGCATTGTGGATTAGCAAAAAATCATATCTTCCATTCTTTTTCCTGAATTGGAAGTTGGGGGTAAAGGGGTTCTTTCTTAAGAATTTTGTAGACATAAAATCTGATACAGAATTTGCTAGCATAAACATTTGGCATTATGCCTGTGATCAATTAAAAATATCTGCTTTAACTAAGGTTTCTTTTTGAACTGGGCAATCTATCAACATTTCTATAGTTATCTTTTATTACTATCTTGTCTTGAGCCCTTTTTTTAATGACATCTATTATCAGATTGAAATGGCGATTGAGACACTGCAAAAGTCTGATGGTCTGTCCACTCACAGAAGCTCTCTTCTCAACAGCCATGTAAGTTGCCTCTTCTTCATGTAAGCTAATCCTTTGCTTATTCTGCATGCTTTGCTTGTCTTCTAAATGCTTGTTTTGTTTTGTCACCCTCCCCCAGCTTCTGAATTTTCCTTTCCACTTTTGAACTCTCATAGCAGCTTTTTTTTTTCCCATGCAAGATGTTAGTGCACCAAAATTGTTTGATTTCCCTGCTCTTAGAATGCTGCTTTTAAGTTTCCTGAGTCACTAAAAGCAATTCAGAAGAAACAGTCAGACCACACCTAGGTTAATACAATCTTCATGTTATCGTCAAGCGTGATGGGAATTGTATCGTCATTTGAGAAGGAGTAAAATCTCATAATTCTGATGAAATACAGTTTAAGTTACATGTAAGCGAAACCTAGTCCACTCAACTATATTGTATTGTAGTAAGACAAGGAAATAGATAAATAGCTAATAAATATTGGTTTAGTTTTGGGCCCATCCAATTTGACCCTCTGAATCCCCGTGTTTTTTAAAAAACTATATAAGTTACTTTTTAATTTGTGTGCAGAAAAATGGAGAAAACAATTTCAGTATGAACAAATTTCTATATTTATGTGCAGTTTTCTAGGCTTATTTGACAGGGGTTCTAGAGCAAGGTACAAATGCTGCATGAAACAAGTATGCCTGTGTGAAACAACCAAGATTTGCTTTGATGGACTGAAGATTCTATCAAGGACTGATTCAGAGGCTGAATATTTCCAACAAAAAATGTTGGAGAAGGTTCCTTCTAACCTTCTTTACCAGACCAGGTCAAAGTGCTTACAGGCTACATAGCTTCAGAACTACGTTCAGGATTCATTGAAATCACTCAGTCTGACAGACTTTCAGTGCACCTAGTAGGTGGCTTTACAGTATGTTTCAGGTTGTCTTGTTGACCAAACACCTGATAGAGGTGAGCCAGCAGTGTCACCTAAGTCCCATTTGCCAGAACACTTGGTCATTGTATTCTGGAGAGGTGATCTGTCAGAATTGATGGGCAAATCTCCTGGCCTGTGTGCTCAAGAAAACATGGTGGCCAAACACTTGATCAGTTAATGCTGGTGAGAAGCAAAATACCACTCCATTTGCTTGTGTGCTTTGCAATAGACTAACTCAGGGGAAGGCAAATGTGGCTCTTTTACAACCTGTGGACTTCAACTCCCAGAATTCCTGAGTCAGCCAAGCTGGCTCAGGAATTCTGGGAGTTGAAGTCCACAGGTTATAAAAGAGCCACATTTGCCCACCCCAGGGCTAACTAGATAATTGGCAGCAGGCATAGTAGCACCTCTAGTCAGTTCTGGGTTTGCTGAGTGGGAGTTCTGACCCTGGTTGCTGGATTTTCTTCAACAGCCTCAGAGACTCCTCAATGCCACAGAGAATATTCATTTCAGCCTTAAAAAACAAACAAACTGTGAATTCTGGGGAGAAAGGCTGCGAGAGGTACTCAGAAGAAGAACAAATGCTGCACTTGGTTAAGAAGAAAAGGGTGTCTTCCTTTGGAAATCATCTTTTGTGATGGGTGCATCACTCAAAGCTTGACTGAAGCAAAGCATTCCTTTGAAAATTCCACAGCCTTTCTATAGAGTATCATTTAAGGAACAGTATAATCATTTCTTTTGACAGACAGGCAGATAGTATATTTGACAAAATGATACCAAAAGCAATTTGGATTGGATCAAGATTGAGACAGTTTCACCGGAGGTCTAAATGTTAGGTTCCATCCACTGATTCTATTGAGCCTACACTAAGCTGGGCCAAATTTTAATTCATTAATTGTATTAATATTTAATAAGTAACATATTAAGATGACAATAACATAGCTTTGCTTTAACCTTCCTTCACAGAAAAATACAGCAAGAGGTTTGGTTGGTGCCCTGGAACACTTGAATAATTTCAAATAGATGTTCTCAATTAGTTTGTGGCACTTTAGGCACACTTACTGTTTGCTTATTAAACATTACACTGGAAAATCAGTTGCCTTATTTTCTAGCCATGGCAAGTTGGTGTAATAATTTATATTGTTTACATATGGAATCTATAACACTTCTTTATCTGAAAAACAAACCAATATGTACAATATTTATTTTTAGTTATCTAAATCAGATAATTTGTAAATTATTCAGCCTTCACTGAATATTAATGTACAGGTAATCTCTGACTTACAATCACAATTGACCCCAAAATTTCAGTTGCTAAGCAGGATAGTTGTTAAGTGAATTTAGTCCCATTGCATGACATTTTGCCATAGTTGTTAAGCGAATCTGGCTTCCCCCATTGACTTTGCCTGTTAAGAAGTTTACAGATGGGGATCACATGACCCCGGGACACTTCAACTGTCATAAATACAGGCAGTTGCCAAATGCCTGAACTTTGATCATGTGCCCATGGGGAACAGTCGTAAATGTGAAAATCGGTCACAAGTCATTTTTTCACTTTCATTGTAACTTCTAATGGTCACTGAATATGTCAAAGACTACCTGTTTTTATTTTTATTTTTTTTGTTTTAGAAAAACGGCATCATAAAACTGTGGTCCTGTGATTTTTGTTTACTCTGTAAATTTAAAAATAGAATATGTTAGATGACTACAATAAATTGAGGGGGGGAAATTTAATAGTATACCAGAATAAATTTCAGACCTCTCTTCAGAGGAAGAGAGCCAAATACACTTCAGAGGGAGGCATGTTCTGTGATGCAAGGGCCCACTAAGGTCTGCCATCTCACAACATATCTCTTGTGGGGAAGAGAGCTATCTTTTCTACATGAACTTGTTGCTGTGATACATATTTCACCCTGGAGCATTAGATTATCATTTAGAGAAGGCGAGCACTAAATAGATAAACAGCAGCTGCACTGACTTGAGTTACATTTCATAAAACATTTTAGATTTAAATTGAATTTTTGTACTGTGCTATTCTATTGTGTACATTTTCCTGAAAATTAAGATGAAAACAGAATTTCACAATAATGAATCATGCAATTAATTCACAGTTTTGGAGTGTGTGCCAATAGCAAAACCTTAAATGACATATTAAGATCATATTAAGTTTGTGTTTAGTTCCTAAAATTATTGTTAATAATTGCTCTTTTTGTGACTTTTTTTAATTGATGTCCATTCCTTATTTGTGGAATCTGAATTAGAGTAGGCTACAACTGAGCAAGGAAATTCTGATTAGCTACAATGATAATGGTAATCATAAACTAATTCTGCATCAACCTCTGTCAGTTATTTGTTTCTTGCTTGAGATTATTCGAATCCTATTTGCTCAGATATAACTTACCAAAGTTATATCACAACATGAGTTTTATTTTCAACGGCCTCCCAGGCAAGGGAAATTTTGAACCAGAGTCCTAGATATCAATGCTCAACTTGACATGGAGTTATTGGCCAAAAATATATATTTAAGTTGGTTGTCTAAGAACAAATTTGCAATTTGAAAAATGCTTGTCAATGAGTTTGACACAATCTTTAAGAAGAGCCTATTCTAGAGCAAGATTTGCATTGTTGGATTTCAGGGCCAAATATGGACACTTCCATCACTTGCTTTATCATGAAAGTACATGCATATATACTACCTAAGCCATTGAAAATATTGCTTGTGTTTTGTTTGACTTCCCCTCCCTTAGGCTTTGATATTTATCATTCCCATTGGAAAGAACAGCCCATTGGGATCTGAATCCTAGATTGCCTTATTTCCTCCTAGACTCTCATTATATATTGTAAGCAGAATTGCTAAGTTTATAATTAGGTCCGTTGAACTATCGTAAGAACCTGATACATTGAATAAATGGGGGTACTGTCTAAGGGCAATGCTGACTATTGATATTATTGATTCCGTTGACAGTTGCAAAACAAAATGGCAGTTCAGAGCTGAAACTCCGAGGCTAGGAGGGAGATGTTTTGACATTTTCAAGAGTGTGGGGGTCAATTAACCATCCACAGACCCCCCCCCTCCCAGCAAGCTGAGGTATTTTCGGCTCAATAAAGCTGTGGATGGAGCCCAAGGATAAAACCCGAGCCGAGCCCGAAGATCAGCTGTTTGTTGGTAAAAAGACTGAGGGCGGTGCGGAGGATGTCAACATCAAAACCTGGCTGTCACGACCGGGTCAACCACTGAGTCTAATACAGCTGATGAAATGGTTGGCGAGACGGTGGCAACATCAACTCAGGATAGGGTGTTGATAATGATGCCTGGGCTAATAGGCGCTGCATGTAGCAACACTGCGGCGATGATGTCTACGGCAAGGGGGGTTACCACAATGGCGAGGGGAATGGCGCTAATGGCAGCGATGGCAACACCAGGAGGCTGCAAGGAAGCCCTCGTTGTTAATAGAGGAGAGGGCAATGCTGCAAAGGCTATAAATGTTAGGATCCCTTCAACCTCTAGGGATCTGTTGCACTCCTCTTTCTTGAAACTCTGAGGACTTATTAAACTAATTGAACTAAGTAGCCTGAGCAAGGTGATGGATAGGGACTGAGGATTACAAACTGGAGATGATGACTTACTCTCCCCCTCAACTGTCCCTCTCTCCTTTATCAGATCTAGGTCTATTACGACTACTCAGCGTTAACTTGCAATCTTAGATCGGTCTGCAGCTTTATTTACCACCTATTCCCCAAGATTACCCTGATTATTTAACCCTAAATACTTTGTCCAGTGGCTCTGCCTTACTTTTTTGATCTAATCCTCGGCCATCACTGGTATCAGGACTGGAGGAGATACAGACATTGAGAGTCTTGGATTATGGGGAGATAGACCACCTTCTCTTTGTTTGTTTCAAATGGTTTGGTCGCTGTGAGAGGACGTCCCTTTGAGACCTGTATCCCCACCTCCTTTGGATGGACTTACTACAACCACAAGACTTCCCATCGTCGTGAGAGGGCGATGATGTTCCGATGTATTGACATTTGTAACATACTGGTCTTCCTTTAACATCTATTTCCTCCCTTATTTTAAATTACCTGTCTTAACCATCTCTAACACTCTTAGATGAAAAT